AAAAAAAAAAACGGCTCAGTTTATTAACCTTTTAATTTTTGGAGTTAAAAAAAAAGCTTCAGTACTGTCTGATCTCTAATGCTGCATCGACTAAATCTCAGAGTCAGCTCGGCGTGTACTTTTGAGGTTAGTGAGCATTTTTCATTTTTGCGCCCCGCACGCAGTGAAAGTCATGGATATATTTTTAGATGAAATTACCTTTATCATTTATCTCTTGAAAAAAGGTTATTAATCTTCTCATTCTTTGTTCTCCAAGAACACAAACATAGCAAATCACACCAAGACTTGGCAACTAAAACTAGCTTTGTGGGATAATGCCATTCAGCTTCTCTGTATGTACATTAGAAGTCGGTAATCTTTTCCAAACATCTATTTTTGAAATAAAAAAAAAAGCTCTTGTTTAAACAGTCATTTAATATTTCAAAGTCCAGAATATGCAAAAACAGTGTTTGGCATGGTGATTGCAATCAGTGTGGAGCAAAGTTTTGGAAGTAAAACCAAGATAAAACGTCAGAACAGGGCAATAACAGAGCGTGTGTGTGTGTGTATTTGTTGTCCAGGTATTACTCATATTTTAGGGGCCTAAATCTGTCATATAATGGGGACGTTTATTCCTTTTGGGGAAGAAGTCCTTATACAATAAATCACTACATTTCAACACAGTGACATGTTTTTAAGATTAGACTAAGTTTAGATTCGGGTTATGCTTAGTAGCAGATATTGTTTAAGGTTAAGGTTAAAGAAAGTCAGTAAAAGTGAATGCAAGTTAATGTAAAGTCCACTGGAGTCATGATGCACGACTGTGTGTATGTGCATGAATGGCAGTTTCAGGTGTTTCATCTACTGGTGCTAATAACAGAGCAGTGTGTTTGTCCTTTGGATCTGAAGAAGTGATTAAGAACAGAGCAATAACCACAACAGCTGTTGGAAGAGGAGGCAGGTAAAGGGATGAGATCATGTTGTGAGTCTCCCCCAGCATGACCCATGACCTGAAGCAAGGGTGGCCTGTTCTTATAGCTAGCTCTAATGAAGCACAGATGACAATAGAAGCTCAAATAATCGGACAACTGGTCGGCTTTTTGAACTCCACTGGCAACGACACTAAAGAAGGTGTTCTAATTCGAATTCTAAATATCCCACAAAAGCTGCCTCATAAGGAGCTGTGGGTGAGTGAATAATGTCTGTCTGCTCCACTTTAAGCTATGGTGTGGAGCAGACAGGGCTGTCTTTGTCATCCACCTGAAAGCTCTTTATGTGGGCGTTTCTCATCAGCTATAATTGTGCCACCTCCCATTTCACTCTGAAGTTGAATGTTGGAGCTGGGAGTGACGCTGCAGTAGTAAAGTTGGAAAACTGAGGAAAAATAGCATTTGTTTTGCTACTCAGCAAGGTGGAGCCATTCGTGCATTACTAGCAACACAGCACAGTGGTTGGGTTTTTTGCACTTAAAACACACAGCTGCAGCACATTTGCGTATGGCTCATTTAGTGAGTCACAAATACACAATAGTAGTATTTCAGATTGTAAGTTTTAAAATGTTACTGAAGATTACCTGCACTGTTGCCATCTTGGATTGTTAAATCAGAATTGATGGGGCTTCTCTGACTTTCTGAGTTGGAAGTCTGATTTGTTCCAATTGAATATTCAGACTTCAGATGGAACGCACCATTAACCAGGGTGATGCAACCCTGCTGACCTTTTCAAATTACTCTTGTTCCTAGGGTCTGCACTACCAATTACACACATCAGGCTTTCTGTGGAAGAAAGGAAAGGAAAAGAACCTAAACAGAGATCACTAAAGGAGACGATTCGGAAATGCCTGTGCATTATCTGAAATGCAAGTGTGAAGAAAGACAATTTAGAGACTGTAGATTCCAATGTGAGAATGATTATTTTCTCCTTTTTAAGCAGAGTCAACAAATGCTCTACTAGAAAAGGAAGCTGAAGATGATCTTCTCGCAGACAATACAAAAGGGTTCATATTCAGGCTCGTATTGTTCACCCTCGGGGGACTGCTGGATTGTAACCTGAGCGCATGTTAGTCCAGCACAAACAGCTGACTCTGCCACCTGGGAGCCAAATGTCTTGGCTTGCTTATTTTTGTAGTGCTCCACCCTGATCCTAAACAACACGGATTTATACCCTATTTGCAGACCTCAAACAACACACAAATGTAGCTGAGTCGCACACAGGTCAACGCAGAGAGAGAGAGAGGATTATCAAGCCCACTGGCAGGAATGCTTGTTTTCTGACAGAGAAGGAGCTAAAACGGCAGCCTAAATAATAAAAGAAAAAGCATGAATCCTACAGAAATGTGGTTTTATTTTGTTGCATATATCATAAGCAGCAGTGACAGCAGTAGCAGCAACTTAAGGGAAAGCCTCTACACCTGAGTTATTACTACAATCATAATTTCAGAACAGACTATGGTAAGCCGTCTGCTTAATAGCTTATTCAAAGCATCTTTAAGCGCAGTAATCCACAGTTAACCATGACACGCAGCACTAAACAACCTCGAGCTACATTCAGAGACCATGTCAGGATTTATAAGTTACAGCCCCACTGTAACTGTACTGTAATGATCTCTCCTGTAATGCCCAGCAAGTCATTTATCAAATTCTGTAAAGTTGCTGTGTCTGATGCTGGATAATACCAGTGCTGAAATGACTTTTCAGTGAATCAGTTAGCCTGCGAGCTAAAAATAAAAAGCAAGTAATCGAAATTATTCACCGATCAGAAATGGCCCAGATGTGCGTCTATTTGTGCGTGTGAATGTGTGTGAATGAAGTGTAATTTGGATTATTTTCAAGTTTAACAGAGAAGCGTGTGGATGAATACCCTGACAGATTTTTTTAAAGCATATAATTCTCCTTAGAGTTTCTGCATTCTCCACACTAACCTGTCACAAGCTCCCTCACTTCCGCATCCACAGTCTTTCTAAGGAGACGGAGCAGTGCTGGGATACCCCCGGCGTTCCTAACAGCGATCTTGTTGTCATCCATAGTTTTGCCATACACGAGGTTCCTCAGAGCGCCACAGGAGTTCCTCTGGACTTCAAGGACTTTGTGGTCTAGCAGGTCCACCAGGTGTTTAATCCCTCCCAGTCGACACACCTGGAGTCAGGATTTTCAGATGTGAAATGATTCTGACCACTAACAACAGTTTTTAAAACTTTCCCTGTAAAACACGGGGAAAAAATCATGCATTTATTCATGTGACAAGAGAATCTACGCACAGGGAATTTATTCATACCAAACAAATTATTTTGAAAAGAAATGCTAATATATGACCATGGAAAAAGTCTTAACCACAGGAGATGGTAGACTAAAAGAAAACTGGATTTACATTTCCTTCTGGAGAACAGAACAATGTGTACTCTGAAAAAAAGCTCCCTGCTTTTCGCTTTGTAATATCAATCACGTTTTTCTGTCATACGGCATCCAAGAAAAACAGTATCTAAAATATACCGTCTTCATAACTTATCTTAGTCTTTATATGTCAAAATCACCATTATGCTAATGTCTGAAAGGACAAATCCAGAGCAGATGTCTCTTTGGATTTATTTATTTTTCTAACTGTTGCTGTAAGCTGTGGATGTTTTTTTCTTTAAATAGACTTGCTTCTGATGTGTATGAGCAGTGTGATTGTGACTATGTTCACATTCTTGTGACTCTTTGGTAGCTCTAAACCTTTTCAGCTCGACGAGTTGAATTGAACAAATAATACATCTGCTAGTTACAAATAATTTCTTTTGTCTGTGTCAAAGTGACCACCTGACTGTCTGACCGCCTCACACTTTCAGACCTAAATTCCATTTTCACAGCTCCAGTCATCAGTTCTGCTTGTTAAGATGACACTAGCTCAGAAAAGTAATTGTGAAACTCTTGGAACACGCATTAAAAAAAATAAATACCTCTCTATAATCCACAAGCTCGTATGAGATAACCCATGCTGATAGGTTTTACCTTCTAGTAAAGTAGTGACATATAAGATAGATCACAGCTGAAGGAGATGATTGTACAAAAACTACAGCAGTTGCATTTCACAGGTTTTCAGACATAGAGACAACATTCAATATTCATGGAATAACTAGGTGTAGTCATTGCACCAGTAATAAAATGGCTGATTTGTGTATATCCTTTCGTCTGTGTGAGTTCTCTTCAGGTATTGCAGGTTCCTCCCACAGTCCAAAGACATGCAGTTAGTAGGGTTTCATTAACTGGTGATTCCAAATTGATCTTAAGTGTTATTATAAGCATGGATAGCTGCGTGTTTGCATGTGTTAGCTCAGCAACAAATTGGCAACCTGTCCAGGGTGTTCCCTGCCGCCCCCCCTAGGACAACTGGGATAGTTTCCAACCAATCTCAGTTGTCATAGAGCAGATGGATGGATGGATGATTTATACAGGCTAACTCAGAGCTCAAAGTTACTGCTATAGTCATACCACAAAACTGTAGTTAAAAAGCCAGTTTTCACTTTGACTGTCGCTGGCTTTGCTCTTCTCATCTGCCAGACATTAAGAGTTTTTGGTAAAGTATATGCACATCTCCAAAATCTGGGCAGGCCCAATAAACTAACAAAAATTTTTGAATAACACAAGTTGAAATAACTCACTGTAATAAGAGTGTAAGGGATTAGTGGTAGAACACCTACCTCATTCTTGACTCGATTATCACCAAAGCACAGGTGTTGCAGGTAGGCAGCTGCATTGGCCTGCACTGATGGGAAGTGGTGCTGCAGCATGTGAATCACCTCTGTTAGCTCTGGGTCACGCCACGCGAACTCTCTAAAAGTACACGTGGGGTGAAAAGGCATCAGCATGACGGCAGCGACTGGAAGAAGGTTGCCTTTTTCCTAAAAATTAATTCTTCAGCACCAAAGGACAGGCTGATAAAGCCAAGAAATTACATTTGCACCAGGTCCAGTTGGGTCACACTTAGATTATTGGGTTTGTGCATGTAGCACATTAAAGAAAGAACAAAGGAATGCATTGTATCTAAATTTCTTTTTTTAAGATACTAATAATGGATTTTTCAAACTTAAAATTAGACAAAATGTTTTGTGATTGTAGACCTCTGCCAACCAGTCAATTTGTAGTTTATATCCATATTGGATCAAAGTTGTCTGAATTAGTGTTGCACAATAACAAAATACCAATAAGTACTTTAATCGACCCGCACTTCTGGTTCTGACTACCGAGGACAACAACATTTAACTGCTCTCATGCTAATTATTATCCCTAATTCAGACTCTTCATTTAGAAATATACACCAGCACTGATAGAGCCACTACTTCCCATATGAGGAAGATTGTGCATGAGTACATTATAATCTTGTGCATGCTCATCCGTTAATGTGAATGCACACAGGTCAAATTTTTGCCTCGCTGAAAGCGATACATGAATGTTAATAGATTCAACCTAGTGAAATTGCCTGTTAAGACATCTAGGGAAAAGTGGTTAATGGAAAGGAGGCAAAGAGTGAAAGGGGCTTAAGTTGTAAGAGAAATACCTTTGACACACTGACTGAATTATGCACATCACAATCCCAGACTGCTAGAACTAAATTTGTGGCCTTTGACTAAACTAATAAGTCTTTCCTAGACAGGAGCAATGTTAAAAAAAAATTCTAGAGGAATTTTGAGTCTGACGCCATTCCAGAATGGGCCGGTGTCACATAAAATAAGCGTTGTGCACTCACTTTAAATACTTAGACAACAGCATAAACAAGTGTAAACAAATTTCCCAATGAGCAGGGTCACTGCAAATGTCAATCCACTCTCTACGCTTACACGACAAGAGCAGACACAGCACTTCAGCACATGTGAGAATCTTTTGTTAAGTGGCCAGGCATAGTTGAGCCAGCTTAACGGCCAGAGCTGTGTGTGCGTGTCTACCCAGGAGGTTCACTGTTTGAATAGTAAGAGGACACCAGTGTTGACCCAGCAGAACAGGACTGCCTTGTAAGCAAAAGTAGTCCCCCTGGATTACTGGTTTATGTTACTCTACACTGGTTACTAACCACAGAATAAGTTTAGGGAAACAGAAGCATAGAAATAGAGTGAAATGTGTGTCGAGCTTACCTCGGATCCTTCTGAATGCTGTCTATGGAAGGAGAGCGGGCGGCACCATCATCCACGACAACAGCCTGGCGGGTGTAATTGGGATCGGAAGGCCGGTACTGTGCTGAGCGATAGGGATCAGCATAGGTGGCTGATGTGTTAAGAGTATAATTGTTTCTTTGGTAGGTCATGGCACTTCGCTGGCTAGACGACCTTTGCAGACTGCCCACACCTAAGGGATAAATCCAAATCATTCAGATTAAACACAAGACCAAAAACACAAAAACATCTTAGCGGCGTCTAGACGTCGTCAGCTAAACTTCCAGCTTTCCCCACCATAGGCATACATCTTCAAACAAAGCTGGAAATACAGACATGCTGCTGTTCTGACAAGCTCAGCAAATTCTCAAATCTGGAACAGATTAATGATGAGGATAAAACACAGCTCCCATGGTAGCACAAAGCAGAACTCTTTTCCTTCAAAGACCTCTTTACTTCTTGTTGCTTTTACAAGCTTGTGTTAGCCAGAGGATCCTGCTGGTTTTCAAAGAGGACAGGAGGACTCAACTTGCTTGGTGATCCACAAATCCTTTCTTCGCCGCCTTCTTGCTCCTCTGAGACATCCTATGCTCAGGCTAAGTTTGCCAAACAAAGCAGACAGAATTTGGTAAACCAAGGCGCGCTCCAAAAGACGGAGAAAAGAAGTCAGCCTGAGAACACCTCCCTTCAGTCATCTTTCCTCTTTTCATTTGCACCGAATGGTATTATGACCTAGTTTTTTAACACAATGGGTCACAAACAGAACGGCATAAACAAGCTGCTTGGATTCAGCCCTCCTTCTCACCGGAGCCACGTGATACGAGGCAGCGTGACTGCTGCGCCGGTCAGAAATCTATCCTCCATCCAACAGAACTTGGCACGAGCGTGCTCAAACTCCCTCCTACCAGCAGCCAAGACGTCAACTGGTGGGGTTACTCCAAAAACACAATTTCGCGCATCACTGCACTATGTTGGGCAGCAGCTCTACCGCGCAACATGGTTATCTCCCAAAATGTAACCTTACACAGCCAAAGACATTGGAAGACAAATTATAAACAACATACTGCAGCTTTGCAATTTTACAAGAACTATTTGGATTCCATTTCTCACCTTCTCAGAAAAAGATCGATACTTCCATTGCTCCCGCTTTCACAAAAAAGTACACTGCCTGCCAACAGAAAAAGCCCCCAAAAATGCATGGAAAGCCGATAGGGGGAAATGGCCCATTGAAATTTCATTTCACAACATAACAAAGAAAACTGTGGGATCAAATTGGATTTTTCTAATGAGATAGCGCTCACAAAGCCCCCATATTGAACACCCCCTCCAGCTCTATCCCACTTGCCTTTTCTTAGTATAGCTGGAATAAACACATTACAGTGGCTTGACTGTGGGGCTTCTTCATACCACCAATAGCATTTATTAGTGAACTTATCGGTCTAAGCAGATCTCCGATGCGCCGAGGAGAAGCCTGAATGGAGTGCGAGTGTACGTCATGGGAATTAAACATGCGTATCCGAGGCAGGAGAGATGATGAGCGGAAAATACTAACATCAGGACAGCTGGAAGAGCACAGGCTGTGGATGTGGCTAACCAAGCTGTCCCCTTCATCCTTCTTCTCATTCTCAATGTGACACATGGGTAATGGACTCCTTTGTGGCAGGATGACATATCAGAACCTGCCCATTAACTCATGTCTCACCCATTTCTGTCTGACAGTGGAGGGAGGATGGAAATGGAGGCAGCGGAAGAGAGAACGAAAAGTAGAAATCAAGAGAGAAAAGCAAGAAAGAAAGACATAACATACTGTGCGCTAAAGGGCAGACAGAAAGATGTCCAACCCCCACATGGACAGCGATAGTCCTCCATGGGGGATATGGGAAAGAGTCCAAGACACCTGGATTAAATGGCAAAGACTTTGACACACTTAAAGTCAAAGAAACTACATAACAGGAAGAAGGCACTTCTGATGTGAGGATGTATAGAATAAAAATTCTGTGCTCATCCTGACCTGGCTCTACCGCACGAAGATACAGCACAAGCAAAGAAGATGGTAAATGGAGTTTCTAGAAGATTTGATCTGTCGCACACAAACACACTCAAATCAAAAACTGTGTTGTTTGTAAGGTACTGCAGGGGTTCCCAGCTTCTATCTGTGCCACACTGTCACTGAGTGGCAGGGGACGCGTAGCATCAAGAAAAACATTACCTCGGTATACGATGTCCTCCTCTCTCAAGCTTTCTCTTTTTAACCCATCTCAGCTGGCTAGATTAATCTGTAACCAGCTGCATACATACAATTGTGCCACCTCAACTTACTCACTGACAGGAAAAGCATTTTCTGACTTTTAAAAAATGGCTCCACAGCAAGTATTTCATAGCAGTCGTTAGCGTAGGTGATGCTTTGCACTTTTGTTGACACTAAACTCAGGTTCTTCCAACAATCTGGCAGCAAAATTCTTACTTGTGAGAGGGAAACGCATAATTTTAGTATCATAGGGAGACTGTTACTAACTATTATTAGTAACAATGTCCAAAGTTAATAATAATGTGGGGCCAACCTGATGTGCTCCTGTAGAGCGTGCTCTGGTGGGTGTGGCTGGGACTGCGATACAACGGGCCCTTGTACGTCCGATCCTCATAGATTGGTGCAATGTGGCGGTCTGGGGAGATGGTTGACCTTAAGTCCGGGGCCAGCTGGCTGTGCTGACTGGTGTAAGAGCTCCGTATTCCTGCAAATGAATATAAATGGGAAGAATTTAGTGTCTGTGTCTTTTCAAAATATTATAGACCAAGACAGCGACTTTCCGGCCATGTTTTCATGATTCTTACAGGATAACTGTGCCAGCATGTTAAAAACATCAGTGGAAAACATCGTGGCTGCAAAAAGAAACCGCAAGAGTGCTTGTATCACCCCAAACGACGGTATTTAGGTCACTTAAGTCACCTGATACTTGGTAGACTTGGATAATCAATCTCAGAAAACAACATGTCTTCTTTTGTTGTCAAACTTAATGTCATTGTTGTGTGCGGTTCACTGATTTACAAAAGGGACACTGCATCGCTTTACAACAATAATGCAGTTTTGACAAAAACAAAAGCAGACATGATGTTCATCTTATGTATCAGGTTAAATCAATTTTCAAACTTGATCAAAATGAATAGAAAGCACTGCACATGCTGAAGAAATAATTCAATTCACACAAATATGACTGTCAGCAAAGTATGAAAAATGAAAAATGAAACAAAAACACAAAACAAAACATGAGTTAGGGAAAAACCCCACATCTGCTTCTTTTTTGAACAGGAACTAGGCACAAGCAAATGCTAAATATTGGTTGAAACGACTAAAATGAGTCACTGAAGTGAACTGAGCAGATACCGAAGTGACACTGCAAACCAGTCAGTCCATTAACAACAGAGTGTTTCACATAACAAACAAACAAATGCTATAATCAGCAAAAAGCTCTCCTGATGGGGGTGAGAAAAGGAAACCATTGTCTAATTAAAAATTCCTTTCACAAAGGTCACTTTAACAGGAAATGCTGGCATAGTCGAGCATCAATTTCTGTCTGACTCAGACTCGGGTCAGATGTAAAACAACAAGAGCAGAATGAGGAAACATCACACTGCACTGGGTCTTTCCATATAAAGGGAAACACAGCTATTATGTCTCACTCTACCAACCTTGGAATGCCTAAACTTCCAACAAAAACAAACGTGAGCGAGGTCGTGCAGTCATGGCCAACAATCTGACAAACTGACATTGTGTCACATGGTAGGCAGATGAGATCGCACACTCGCACACTCTCTGTCACTTGTAAGATTTTACCTATCAGGACATAATCAGTCCTTGACCAGGTCTTAAAAAAGTAATAGCAAGTTAGACAAGTTAGTCAGTGCCATTATTAATATAAATGATGCCAAAATGCAGAAGCAATGTGTGAAAAACTAAAAGCATCCCATTAGTCAGCAGCTATGGATGAATTTTGGCCCACTCTTCTTTTCAGCTATCTTACGGTCCAGCCACAGTGTCTCACTCAGGCTGAAGTATTTGTTGGACAAATAGCCTCACATTTGTTTCTAGAACACGTTGAAACTTTGAGGAGTTCATGGTCAACTCAAAGACTGCAAAGCACACAGGTCCTGCAGCTGCAAAACAAACCCAAACCATCAGCATCCACCCCCGTGCTTCACTGTTGGTGCAAGATGTTTGTGGTAATGTTTTGTTTGGGGTTTTTTTTTTTTTTGCTAAATGTGGTGCCATGCATTATGGCCAACCATCTTGTCTTGTGGTTCGTTTAGCTGCAACTTTGAAAAGCTAAGCTGTGCTGCCGTGTTCTTTTTAAAGAGAAAAGCAACGCATACTTTTTTTGTTTTATGCAGAGGTTTTTCTTTTTTAAATTGTACTTTACTAATTGTGCACGGTTTCAGGTAGTTAAAAGTCTGAGATGTACTTCTTGGGTTATTTTGCAGTCTCTCTAAGCATTGCAAAATGTGACCTTGGGTTGAATTTTCTGGGACGCCCACTCGTGGAAAGATTGGCAACAGTCTTTAATGTTTGCCACTCGTGATTAACCTTTTTCAATGTAGACTTCAAATTGTTTGGAAGTGACCTTAAAACCCTGCTGAGAGTTATGGGCAGCATCAATTGCCCCTTTAAGAGCACTGCTGATGTATTCCCTACTTGGCTATGTGTTAACACACATACCTGAGAGCTCCAGCCAACAAAGTGACAAAACCTGAAATTTTACAGAGGTACTCACACTTCTGATGCTCAATCGAGAACATATGATTAGCAGCACTGCTACTGCCTCTACTGGCTACTATGTACCTACCTATGGAAGTAATAAGAGACATAAGAACACTTGATTTGTTAAATCGATGTGTAATATGCCACGTTTTATAGTTCATTGGAGGTTATATTAAGCTGGTTTTAGGACTTTCATTTTTATTATGTCCCAGTGTGTAAAAAGAAGAGTCGATACATGTTGTCATCTTTCTTTTTGCCATAACTGGATGAGTGTATATAAAAGAAAAATCTTTTTTTTAAAAAGGCATTTGTAATACCTTAATATGTAACCACAAAGAAGTTAAAACTTGACATGTTGACATTTTCTCAAGGAACATAAGAATATGATTAAAGCGTTCTTAGTTATGTTTTAAAGAGACGATGAGATGTCAACAAAAGTTGCTGTGGTTATAATGTTATGACGCAACTTTGGAAGAGTAACTTTTGGCTCCAATATAATGTGCATGGCAGCATATACACCTGCACCATCTGTTCTCACTCTGTACAAACTCAAACTTAAAAAAGCAAATTCATTTCCCTGCTCCCCAAAACACAAAATGGTTAACTGAAACAATCGATAGGAGAGGATAGTGCATTTGAGTAGAATTTGTACTGAAGAAGGAAAAGAAAATGGATGAATAATCTGATTAAAAAGGGGGCCCTATTAATTTAAACAGGAGGGGGTAATGGGCTGCAAAATTTCTATCAAAATAACCAAGGGCTAATGTCTGAAAATGGACCACAATTATAGCATGTCTCACCCAATCATCCCCTAATCAAGTTAAACTCAGAGCTGAGCTATTCTGCTGTGACATAACAAGAAGCAGAATAATAGTCGTGCTTTTACCGTCGCATTTTGAAGATTGCAAAATAGGTTAAGAGTCCAAACTTTTTTATTTTTATTTTACAGACCAATTAAAAATAAACTGGTATGATGAACTGTAGAGGACAGCGTTTGCTCCTCTTTAATCTCCATTCTCATCAAACAAACCTAAACAAACACCATTTAAGTAATGTTTGTTTTAAACCTCACATCACTGAAGCTCACTAAGCTGTGAACCCCAGTGGGCCAGTATACAGTTGGCAACTTACTGCTTATTGCACATTTCACAAGCCCCCCAAACGTCACTTGGGTCCTCTCCAACTGCATGAGCTCAGGCACAGACTGCTGCTAAACACGAGCTCTGCCATGCAGAACCAGCTAAATGAGGGAGTCTTGTCACAATTTGAGACTGAGGACATTAATAAATAAACATATTTGCCTCATTTGTGAGCAGAGAGACTCTGGAGGCAAGACGAGTACAAATTTCAGATGTACATGGTAGACTAGACTGAGGCTAACCTCTGAAACACAGAGCCTTTACATGCACTGAGGCAAGCATAGGATGAGGCATTGGGCAGCTGGTTAGGGGACCCTGGTAACCTCAATCTGAATAAACATGCAGAGAATCAACTAACTAGCTTAATGGTGTAGTTTTTTTGAAATAATGGTTGCAGTCCAAGTTACTGGCTGATATTAGCAGAAGTTGTAAAACAAACAAACAAAAAAAACAGATTTAAAAAAAGGATTTTCCTTATTTTCTGTCATACATGTGCAGTTAGAATGGTCTATGCTTAAAATGTCCAAAGTTTTAAATAACAAGATATATGAAAATAATCCTTGTGAACCGAAAGCTTAGGCTTCAGACTGCTCTTAAGGCTCAGCTTAAGAGAATTTCTCCAACTCTTGAATATCTTTGAGATCACAGACATGGGATGTAATTAATACGGTTATCTCAGCCACACAGTTTTATACCCGTGAGCACAGCAGGTGGTTTGCCTCCCGTTTACAAGAGCCAACCAATAAGAAGAAAGATGGGGGGGAGGGGGGGGGTGTGTGATTGCGTGCACTAAAGCCCAGTATTAGATAGATACAGATATGTATTTAAACCGTGTATCACACAGAACCCAGAAACTAAAATACGGAGCTGGAATTGAGCAGAATAACTCAACTTTAAGGTCAACTTATCACCAGGCTCAGTGGGCAGGTCTTTTCCCCTAATGAATCAAATAAACACACAAATACAGATTAAATTCTATCAAAGTCTAAATTGCAAGTAAATGAGCATTTCCTGCCAAAATATCAGTCCGACCTTGACCTGAAAGCTGGAAAAAAAATGGTGTCCTAGCTTCTAAGTGCTCTCTGACAGCAAGAGCATTTTATGGAAGAGATCACAACAAGTCCAATCCATTTTTGGGTAAAACAGTGTTGACAAAGCACCCAGTTTTTTGTCAAGGTTATGACAGATTTTAAAACATTTTCTCTAAATTAAATTTAGCGACTGGCTTTTTAGCCATTGCGCAGTAATAAATTAAATGATGGCGAGTGCTGCAAACATCCTTGAAATATGGAAAGGTTTAAACAAGGCTGTGGACTTCATTTATATATTGAAGATTTGAATGTTTTTGACTGATTTTACCTCACTAATGAAAGTATTTTTTTTTGTAAACTTCAGAGTGTTGTCAAGTAAAGAGGGTTGAAATAAGGCAAAACTAAAATGTATCATAACCTACAGAAGCTT